TATAACACACGTTATAAATTATCTAGATTTAGATAAAATGTAAACAGTTATTTTGAGTTTTAGAAAGGATGAGAGAATAATCTGCTAATAATGGTGAAAGGGAAGCAGGGGTGTAGCTAGAACTTCCAGCGCCCGGGGACAACTGAAGAATTTGTGCCCCTTTGTGTGTGCCAAGAATGGAAAACATTTCATTAAAAAATTTCGTAGCATCAGTCTGGCGCCCCTTGGATGCTGCGCCCGGGGACAAATGTCCCCCCTTGCCCCACCCTAGCCAAATAATATGTCTATTACGTCTATGGAGCCTTTCCTTCTTTACATAGACTTTCTTTGCCCTAGCCAAAGAATATGTTTAGTTTAGTTTAGTTTAGTTTAGTTTACGAGTATGCTGCAACCCTCCTGGCCGACAGTAATCGGCCTCATGGTTAACGCAGCACACCCGACGCAGAAAAACAACAACAAAATAATAATAATAATAAAATAAATAAATAAATAAAAGATTAAAATATTTAAAGTCCTATTCCTATGATAGTCTTATTTTCATTCACAATCATCATAATTTCTGTTGCATAGCTATTCAAGAATTTTCTTTTTTCAATTACATTTTGTTCATTTATTTTTCCAAATCTCGTCCTCACACTCTCGGTCAGTTTACATTCTTAGCCAAAGAATATGTATTGGCTTTCTTTCCAAATAATATGAATTAAATATGTATTGGCATTTTAGCCATAGAATATGTATTGGCTTTCTTTGTACCCTAGCTACGCCACTGAAAGGAAGCATGAGGTGAAAAAGTATGGAAGATTTTCTGAGTAACCGTGGTGACCGACCTTGCTATCGCTCTCAAATTTAACCGATTCGACTGTGCGACACCTTTCTTAAACACCCGCTTTATTCTTTTTTTTTTTTTTTTTTTTTTTTTTGCATTTTGCATTTTACTTTTTACCTCGGCTTAGGCAAACTCGACGAGTTTTGCTGTTCGGGCCCCCGCGTTATGACGCTATCCCGGCGTAGATGTTTTTCGATTTTCGAATCTGTGTGGTTACGAATAGTTGGAGAAAAATTCGAAGAAACAAATTTGAGTTCATAACAAAAAAGTCTGGGGAGAAACGATGTGCGAGTCCGAAAAAAAAACATACTCCAGTAACTGCAGGCCTTGACGGAGATAAGCACACATGGCAATGGCATAAGTGGAAAAAAGAAATTGCCTATTTCTCGCTGAATTTCAGAGTCCAAGTGGTGACCACAAGTTTACATAGATGAATATTAAAATATACAGTAATAGGAAATAATATAATATACAAAAGAAAAATATATACAATATATACATCAGACAGCAATCCAAAATCAAAGCACAGAAGAGTAGGGAGAGTGTACATAAATAATTGATATATTACATTACGGTAGATATCTTAAGAGCGTAAGCGGCCGTTTACTGTTTTCATTTGTAAAGCCGTACTGCATAACAGGTATTGTGCTATTGTTGATACTGGGAATATTATTGAAGAATTTCTCAGCCAGAAGGAATTTCTAATTCCTCGTGTATTACCGTGTTCCGAATGAACCAGCGGCTGTTAGTGGCTTGCCTGAGTGTTACATTTTGTAGCACTTGGATTTTCTTAATATTTATATAGCTGGTATATCCCTTTTACCTTTTACTTTTTACCTCAGTTGTCCATTGAGTTTTAACGACAAGCAAAGTTGAGGTTTGTATCATTGAATTTTCCATCACTTCTGCTTTCATATTTCATCTCTAATTTAAATTTATTTAGGATTACGCAGATGCACGAAACAACAGTCTTTGAGCTATTAACTGCATCATTTCAGTATCTGGCTTTATGGATTCTGCTTGTATCTGGTACATACAACTTAATGATCTCCATTTTTCTCAACATACGATGTTCATTCATTTCTTACCATCTGATATTCAGTATTGACTCAGTTTCTAATTTCACTCTGTTTATTATTGGGAAAGGGGTTCATAAATTTTTCCAGTTAATGGCGCACTTACTTAGTTTTGTTATTTTTTCACAGCGCTCTGTTTGGAAATACAGCGGATGGACAAAAATATGGAAACACCTTGTGAAATGCATGTTTGAAAAGAAAGATTGATTTTAATGAAATATGTAGGTGGCGCTTTCATTTTTGACTACTGACGCCACCTATACAACTTCGTAAATGTGCTAAACAGTTCAGTTGTTGTCGGAATACTGTTATGTGAGGTTGTCATTGCATTATGTCAGAGTTAACAGACTTTGAACGCGGGCAAATTGTTGGAGCACATATGGTAGGTGCTTCCGTAAGCAAGGTAGCCGAGGTGTTTAGTGTTTCAAGAGGTACTGTATCGAAGATTTATTCCGCATATTTGAAAAGCGGAAAAACATCATCTGCTAAATCACAGCGCGGACGACGAAAGTTTTGTCCTGAGTGATCGTGACAGACGATCATTAAGGCAATTGTGACTAAAATAAGAAGACCACAGCTGCAAAGTTACTGCTGAAATGATGTTGTGTTACCGAACCCTGTGATTACCAAAACAATTAAAGGGAGCTTCATAAACAGGAATTGCTGGCCGTGCTGCAATTGAGAAGCCACTCATCAGTGATGCTAATGCCCGTAACAGAAAAGGTGGTGTTTAGTCATAAAGCCTGGACTATAGAGCAGTGGAAGCGAGTAATATGGTCTGACGAGTATTCTTTCACATTGTTTCTCACTTCTGGCCGAGTTAACGTCTGGAGAACCGCATCTCAAGCCTATATAATACAGACTGCTTGTTGCCAAGAGTGAAACATGGCGGGGGTTCTGTTATGGTTTGGGCAGCCATATCGTGGTTCTCTGCTAGCCCCATGATAACTGTGTCAGGGCACATGACTGCCAAGACTTATGTGAACATTTTGGGCCGATCAAGTTCATCCCATGGTACAAACTTTGTTCCCCGATGGTTGATGGTGTCTTCCAAGACGACAAGCCCCTGTTCACACAGCTCACATTGTCCAGGACTGGTTTTCCGACACGAGGATGAGTTATCCCATCTCCCCTGGCCACCACAGTCATCAGACCTGAATATTATCGAACCTTTGTGGTCTACATTGGAACGGAAAGTGCGTTTCTCGTTATCCACCGCCAACATCGTTATCTGAACTTGCCACCGCTTTGCAGGAAGAATGGTATAATATTCCTTTGGCAAACATACAGGAACTGTATTTATCCATTCCGAGAAAACTGCAAGCTGTTTTGGATGCCAACAGGTTTCCTACACCATATTAAGCAAAGAAACATGCTTTTTTAAAGGTGTTTCCATATTTTTGTCCAACCTCTGTACTTCTACTAAAACGTTAATCAGGCAAAGAAAAAAAACAACAACATGTTGGTGAAAAAGAATAATAATTTTAATTGACAAGAAAACATGCAAATCAAAAAATCAAATACAGTAAAAAGTCGTTAATTCGGACACCCATAATCCGGAATGATCTATAATCCGGACCTCAAAGCTACAAACTTTCTGCGCATGCGTCGCGTTAACGCATGCGCGTAAGACCTTTACCACTGCGAATTTGCGTCATTATAATGCCTCGTCATTATAATTCGCTTCCGATAGCGAAGAAAGTAACAGAGGTTATTGAAAACGAAAAAATTTCGATTGACAAATTAGTCGGTATTCTCAACACAGCAATTGTAGGACTTGAACAGCGGAACTTTGTAACTAAACAAGAAATTATGTCTGTTTATAGAATTAAAGAGAATGTATTATAACATAAAAAAACGAAGCAACTTAAACAACTTACATTGAAAGAAATGTTTAATAAAGTAAACAAATAAATATTAAGCTTTTTTTTGTAAATTTTGATAACCTTTAGATCATAATTGTTCTTTATTTCGTAAATTACGGTTTCATATTTTTAATTTTATAATTTCTGCATGCCATCTTACCAGATTTAAATTGATGATCTATAATCCGGAAAAATCGATAATCCGGAATCGCCGAAGTCCCGACGAGTCCGGATTAACGACTTTTGACTGTACAAGTAAAAAAAAAAAAAAAAACTTTAGTGGAAGGTTAGAAAGATAATATGACGGGCAACCTTGCTAATCCCCATGCAAATTTTCATATCGTAGAGGAAAGCTTGAAACTGCAACTCTCATTGCTTGCTTCTGTTCAATGTTGAATGATATTTTGCCTTTATTACAGCGGCAGCTGAAAATCCAGCTTCGAATAGGTAGGATATCGCAAAAGAAATAAGAATCATTAGAGCTTTGAACTTAACGTTTGATTCAATTTTGATTGAAATCTAAAGTTACAATAATATTGCCCCCAGCAGCTTAACAGTTAATAGACTGCTTTAACGGCACGGCTGAGTTCAATCTTTACATAGTACTTTCGTTGCCCTTTGCTATACAGGCAGCTCTCTTCATCCGGACTTTCGAACAAAATTAGAATCACTGGCAGGGTTTAAACAGGCTGATAAGTTCCATCTTCAAGGGAATCAGCTGCTCTGTTGGTGAAGTAAAGTAAAGAAAAGTAAAAGCGACAGTGAACGTACTGATAATGAAGAAGATAAAATGTCTTTAAAAAAATTAAGAGAATTAATAAAAAAAAAAAAGCACAGAAACTGCTGATTTTACAGAGGAGGTTGACGCAAATGAAAAAACATTTTAAAAAAGGAAAAGAAAACTGTACGCTTCTTACCGCGAAACGTTTAGGCTCGCGTCAGTCATTGTTTCGAGCAAAATTCAGCAGCATTTTTTTTTTTAAATAATTATATCACGTACGAGTTACACAACAATAAAAATCCTTTAAATTAACATTTGTTTCATTTTTTTAATTACAACAATAGTGAGGTTTCTTAAATTATATTTATGTTTTTAACCTGAATTATACCTAAAACATTTTTTCCATAGCTAGTTTACATTGCCGAACGCGATTTTGGCCGTACGCATAACGTATCGCGTTCGGCAAGGACTTACTGTATCGATTCATTTGAAATATATTATCAAGAATGCTAGAGGCTTCATGAGATATATTTCAGACTTGAAAAAGGTAATTAGAAAACAGTGTCTTTTTCTTTTGTTAAAAGGACTGTATTAATGTTCTATATTTACACACGATTTACACATTTTTACAATCTGGAAATTCATCTGCTGACCAGGTGTTGCCTAAACACACAACAAGTTGAAGCTCTGAAGTTAAAGTATGGCCTAGAGGACATGAAAATATTACAGCTTCCCCAAATACATAAAATTCTTTTTCAGGTTCTATGATGAGTTGAGAATTATCAGCTTTCGGGATAGGTCCACATCCGGAAACACCTATGGGGGAAAAAAAATTGTTAAAAATAATTGCAGAAGCAACTAAAAGTTCACAGAAAACAGTGTGACTGTCTGCAGTTTGAAAATATTCATCATAACTCTTCTATTTTTCTCTTTATTAGAAGGTATAAATGTTACATACCTTCAAATTGTTTGAATATTATTTTAAATTATACGGCTAATCAATTGAAATTAAGAGACTTTACACATGGTATTAAACTGAAAAATCCGATTTCTGAAATTTAGATGTCCAAGGAAATATTACAAATGATGAAGTAATAGAAAACGAATCTGTTCTAAATATTAATTATATAATACGTCTAAAAGTGAATTCGCAGATGTTTGAGCAAATATGAATGGTGGGGATGGAAATCAAGTCCTTACATATATATTACAAGATTATAAGGGTAAAAGAGTGCGGCGGACCACACAGAGATGAGAAATTCGTGTGTGCTGCCACACGAGTCACTGTTTTCAAGCTATGTTGCACAATGTGGTCTAACATCGCAAAAGCAGTAATTCATTCCAGTTCACAGTACAAGAGACGTAACTTCACGACCAGTGTCGAGAGACTTTAGCGTTTTTCACTGTGTCTGTCGTCAAAGCCTCTCGATTTCCAGAGGGCTAACAAACCAATGATCTTGTTTTTCTTCTGATATCGTTCGAGATATAACGAATCAGAGGAAAATACAACTGAAAAAATTAAGGAGGCCTGGCAGTTTGCAGATTTTTTCCATCAGACCAACACCCTCGTAAGCAGAATGCGCTTGACCCTCGTGAGCAGCATCTTTATGCCACGAAATTATACTTCATTACAATAATTGTTCTATGCTATCCATGTTATATCTTTATATATATAAGCGGCTAAAGTGTGTGTCGCGGACTGTTTATTGTTGCCACTCGGAAAAATGAGTGCGGAAATTAACTTTTCTGCAGTTTTTAATTAATATCTCGGCAGATTAAAGTCGTACAAAGATGAGAACGATATCGATGGGTTCGGAGAACGTTTTGGAATCCGAGGATACCCGTCTCGAATTTCAACTCCAAGCCGTTCCGTAGATATTCGAGAAAAAGAATTTGGCACGTAGCCAAATCCCTATAATAGGGAAAAGACAAAAGAAAGTGGAAAATGTAGGGGAAAATTAGTTTTTAATTAATATCCTGGCTAATTAAAACCCCAAGAAGACGCGAATGGTCAAAATGGTGTGCCACGGACCTGCGGAATCCAACGGTGTGCTTTGCTAAGCCTGGGAGCCAGCCGTTTCGGATGAGATGATGTTAATTCACCCCATATATATATATATATATGCGGCTTAAGTGTCTGTTTGTCCCCGATAGTTTATTGGTTGCTTGCGTAACTGTACTAGCCAATGGGCCGAAGTTGCCACGGCACAGGGTTGCTGTTTCAAATGAGACGTAGACAATTTCCTGTAAAACTCGCCTTTGCTATGACCATCCATAAGTCTCAGGGCCAAACGCTTAAGCGTGTTGGCATATTTTTACCTGAGCCTGCATTTGAACACGATCAACTTTATCGATCAACTCTAAATTAGATATCCCTATTTATATTTTAACAAGAATGATCATTTCATATGACCGCCGGGCGTTCTAGTATATATATTTATATAAAGAGCTTCTCGTAATTGTAATAAATATGTTTTGAGTTTAAAAATGCAATGAATATATGCAAATTCACAAATATACTAATCATTATATGAAGTCAGAATCGCCACCTGCCGCCGGTTACCTACAAGTAAATAAAATTTTGGTATAATATAAGACGAAAGAACAAACAAAATATACCTTGTAATGTGTGCAAAATAAATTTAGACATATAAAAAATTTGCAGTGCTTTTATTATTGGGAGAAAAGTTTCAAAAGATGACAGAAACAAATCACCTTAAGATTTGAATCCACTTCGAATTAATTGTAGTCATTGGTTTTAACGTTCGTTCACCTGCAGTTCTTGATATGAAACTTATAATTCTATTTATTTCACTAATTGCAAGTGGTGTATAACAGATTGCTTGCTTTAATCATTATTTGCTGCACCTTATCCTTGCTATACATGCATTTAAGTTTATTTATTATCACGTAAAATGTGTACTACATGTATTGAGCTAAAATAACAACAGTATGAGACGTGCTTATAGCAAAACAATTTCCAGAACTTCTTGTACCCTAGATTAATTTTTAAAAGATTACATTTTTCTCAGTTCTGTTTGACTTTTCATTTTAAATTAACGTTTGTTGACAGGCAAAATATATCTCTCTCGCTTCTTAGCTCTTTATTCATTACTTTATAGTTTTGTTTCAAGACTCACTCATCTTACTAACTTCCCAAATTTTTGAAAACTGAAATTTTGAAAATTTTGAATGTTACTATGCAGTGCTGCATCACCAAATCTTGCTATTGTTTTACAATATTTTATCCCTTCACTTTAGAATATTAGCAACGAATTCTTTACTACTATGTATCTCTAAATTAGATATCCCTATTTATATTATGGGATGTCCTAGATGAGATATCCCTATTTATACTATAGGAATGTCCTAGATGAGATATCCCTATTTATACTATGGGATGTCCCAGATTAGATATCCCTATTTACACTAGATGAGATATCCCTATTTATATATAGGATGTCCCAGATGAGATATCTCTATTTACACTAGATGAGAAATCCCTATTTAAACTACTATATTCTTTACTATTACGTATCTCTAGATGAGATACTCCTATTTATATTAGATAATCCCTATTTATACTTTTTAAACCAATGGCGGGCAGCCGACTTTGGCTTGGCAACTATGCAAGCATGCGTTCTCTGGGATTCGAACCCGGACCCTTTGGTATCGCAGTCGGCTATACCCTAACCACTACACCCTTTGGATGGCTTTTTGAGAAAAACTGAGAGTTCAAGATTGGAAGTCTTTCCTTGTAAGACAATCGCGTCATCGTAATCGCTTATGTGAAGGACTTTCATAAGCCTCTTATAGCCCCCAGTAGAGAACAGAATGTAACAGAAATATTAGCTCCGAATGTCAGTCGGCCGTCTCAAACGCAACCTTGGCTTAGCATTTTGCCAGAACACATAGACTCATCCAAAACGGCCGTTATTACTTGCCGGGACGTGAAAGGTTCTTCTCTCTGGAAAGAGGGAATTTATATGCTCGAGGGAAAGAATGAGAATTTTGAGAATAATTCGATCCGAATGGCGCATGTGCGTAAGTTTGCGCTCATGGTCGCGGATGAGGCGGTCGAAATATATCTGGACGTAGCCAAACTATGTTATCGAACGCCATCTAGTAATGATTAGAACAACTTACAGCAGTCGATCTCCAGTTGCGATGAGGACACGTTCTCCAATATTACGTTCCCGCGACTCGAACGTTAATTCTAAAATCTAGGTGTTCTGTTTTGGTGTATATTTTCTTTGTGACTGTTTTGTGTTCTGTTAATAAACACTTTTAGTGTTTATAGAAGAACGGTTACAAAATGGCACCCAACGGAATTTTCTGTTTGGCTGTAAAAACCCCTTACTCCCGAAATTTTTAAGTTTTAATTGTTGGAGATATTTTCAGGTGTGCACTACTGGTCAAAATAATTTTGAAAAACAAATATTGATGTAAAATATCGCTAGCACATCGAATGGAAAGCGAGCAACATTCAAAGGAATAAAAAATATCTTTATTTCAATTTATTGTTTAGTTTGAGCTAATTCTTTATTATTATGTATTTTTAAATGAGGAGAATTATAAATAATTTTTTGCAGAAAAACTGAGAGTTCAAGTTTGGAAGACCTTCCTTGTAAGACAATTGCGTCAAGGCAATTGCTTTAGCGAAGAACATTCTTGAACCCTTTATAGCCCTCGCATATGCCTATTCGACTTCTTCATGGAGGCTGTGTCTAGAAAGATCGACCGAAAACTACAGGACAGCTCCAAGAGGCGTTCTAAAGTATGATAGAACCAAAGCCAGTAATGCAATCTAAACGGTTTATAGTGAACTTCCAGCTGCGATTTTGTTCCGTTGTTCCCTCGAATGGCAAACATTTTGAGAAATACGTTCTTTAATTTCCTTTATTGCCATGTATAGTATCCTGAAAACCTGAACAAAAAAGTCTCTTTATGTTCAAACGTTATTCAATTTCCCTTTCTGAAAGGCCTTTATGGAAAACCTCGGCTAATCTTTGGAATATGGTAACAGGTAGTTTGGCGACATTTTTGGTAAGGCGATAAAGGTTACTAGACAGGACTTTAGCAGTGTACATGGATAAAGTCAAGGGTGTGCGCAATGCCATTTTTGTGCAATTCTGGGATGTTTTTTCAAGCGAAAATAGGTCGACGTTTACATGGATACCGTGTATGTGCAATTCTTAACAACGCGGCAAGCAGTTTGCGATTCTGCACTTTCTCCCAATTTCACACCTAATCTTCGTCATGATTAAACACTTTTGTTCCATAAAAGTTCTATCATAAGCGTAATTCGGCTAGCAGATTATTGGGAAAAAATGTTAAGTAAAAAAAGAAAAAAAATGCCTTCGGAAAACAAAATGGCGTCCAAACAAAAACTAGCAGGTTGCTGTAGCAGGGTTGGTCGCCAAAAATTCGCCAAGTTACCATAATCCAAAGATTAACCAAAACCTTATACAACAAATGAAAAGCCTGAGAACTTTATATACTTCTTTGTTTTGGTTTTTCTTTTGAGGCCTCCGAGATTGAATCGCCAACCAACCGAGATATCCCGCCCTTATCTAGCTGCGTGACCGTACATTAGCACTCGCTGAGTATTCCTATATCTCGCTACGTAATCATATATTAAGACAGTGTTGCATTTTCTCTTGCCGCATGTTCTTATTCGTTTTTGGTGAGGTTTTCGGATTCGCATTGTTTACTTAAAAATATATTCATTGGTGATTTTGGAGGGGATAGGATTGTACGTTAACCATCTTTAATTTATCAAATAATGAGGTGGTTCCCTTATCATTTGTTCATGAAAGAGGTCTTTTACCTGACAAACGAGTATGCGAAATTGGCCACAACATGAAACTTGACGTTAGAGACGAAACCATTTGGAGATGCAATGTTAAAAATTGCAAAAAGAAGAAGGGACTTCGTGTTGCAAATTGGCTAAGCGGTTCTAGACTATAGTTCGTCACTGCTGTTAGATTTATGTGTTCTTGGGAAGAGGAGTCGCCATCCATGGAATGATATAACAAAGGTAGGATACGAACCGCTCGAAATTTAATTAAAGACCCCCTTCTTATCTAATCCACGAATTGCGCACGTTTTCCTGTCCCCTCTTTCTAATCGGAATTCCCAAGAAAATGGGCGGTACAAAAAGTTATTTACCGCCATTAATGGGGCATTTTATTCAGACTACAAGCCTCTATTTTCGTTTATCAGGTATTGTAAAAATTGAGCAAATAAAACAAATATTAATTTAAAATCTGGCGTGCCCTAAAGTAAAAATGAATTTCTTTTACACTCATTTTAAAGTTTTATGATGCTTAAAAGAATAATGGGTCAGATCATTTTTATTCTCTATAAGAATTAAAAACTTTCCAAGTTGTAGATTTTAGCTGCTGATATATATAATATATATATATAGTTTTAAATAATAAAATTGACAGATTAATGATATACATAAAATTGATACATAGTCAACCTATCAAATATCGGATTTGTAGCGGACCTTAAATAAGTTTTTCTTGTCTAGATAAATATTAACAAATCTTCTTAGATAGTAGAATGGTTTTAACTTTCAAATTTACCATTTTAGGTAAACAGTTCTAATTTAATTAAAAAACATTTCTTTATTAAATCTAAAAATTGGATTTCTTAAGTGGTTCCAAATTCACACTAATATTATTCCAATATATGCTTTATTATAAGCTTTCCATTTTCAATCATTGAAGTTAATTGCTTTCCAGTTACTCCACCTGATGTACTTTGGCATACATTTAATTTATAATACACATTTAAATAATAGATTGTTAATTATGAGCATCTGCAGAATTTTTCATAATTTACAGAAAAAATTCGAACTCGATTTTCAGTTTCCTTTTAATCCATTCGTTTTTCACATACTGTTGCATTGTATTCAAATTTTCATGTATGTAGAATTTATCTGTTTTTTTATTGTATTTATGCCAATTATATTATATTTAAATGATAATTTTATAATATATATATATATAATTTTTATAATTATAATATATATATATATATATATAATTTTTATAATTATATATATATATATAATTTTAATATCTATATATATATAATTTTTATAAATTCTTGCATCATAACTCAGAACAGAACAGAAGATGTTTCTAACACCTTGGTAAAGATTAATCTTCCGCATGTAGCTTATTTTCCAATCTAGTTTCAAGCCGAATTATTTGTAAAATTAATTATTTGTAAACAAAGATGATTGCTAAATCACGCTAATAATATTTCTAACTAATTTATAATGTATAACGTGTATACGAGCCAGTTTCCCTTAGAAAGTCCTCCACGAAGGCATCCCTCCCCTTAGGCAGATAGCCCTCGAGGCTTTGCTATAATCACACACACACACTAACTAATTTATAATGCAACGAGTTCATGTGATTTATAATACAATTCATTTATATTTTTTTCCAGCAGTATTGAAATTAACAGCAGACACTGATAATGATAGCAGCAGATACTGATAATGAATGATACATTTAGATTGATTTCTTCGTTGATGCTTTTATGATGCATTCCTATTACTTCATATACTACATACACACGTACGTACAGACACCATGAAAAATCTCTTCTGAATCCATTTTAAATCAGTTTTATAATTCGTTTGGGGAAAATAACATATAATTTACAAACATATAAGAGTAAAGAAACTGAGATCACTCAGCCGGGTAACAGAGTGGATATATATATATTAATATATTTATATACGTTTGGTGCGGCGATTGCAACCAAAATATGAGGTGCACATCTACATGTTACAGCAGTCCTATGTACAAAATTTCAGTGTTCTGGGGCTACTCGTTTTTGAGTTATGAGAGATACGTACGTACGTACATACATTCGTACAGACGCCACGAAAAATTCTCTTCAGAATTCATTTTAAAGCAGTTTTATAATTTTTTTGGAATAAAAGAGTCTTTTATTCTGTCCTTACGTATAGATGCCACACATAGTTAAATTGCATTCGATAGCGGTCAAAATGGATATTTTCGTTGAAATATAGTACCCAAAATTTGTCATGATTACAATACTTCACTTACAAGGAAGTAAAAAGTATAAATTAAAACGACCCACTAATGTTATTCAGTTATTTATTTACAAGTATATTACACAAACTTTTGCATCCCAATTTTTAGGTTTTGGTTTAAAAAAATAAGCTTTTATTTATTGAGGGGCCCGATTGATTATATTAATTTGCAGTACATTTTATCTAATTATTTTCTTCTAGATAAATTAAAAAAAAATCTTCGTAGCATAATAACTTAAATTTATCTAAAATTTATACATCAGTGTTCCAAACACATAATAATGTTGTTATAATAGATTTCATGCTAAGCTTTTTTTAAATTTAAATATTAATTTCTGTAAACATTTACATTACTTTAATTAACAAAAATATTTTTAGCACACTTTGATCTTTTGCACACCAGTGAACTATATTAAATTTTCCAGCCTAGTTCAGACATCATGACTATTATTGATGTAATTTATAAAAAAATATTATTGGTATGCTTTATAATTATTTAATTTATGATATTATTATAATATTCTTTGCTCTAATGAAATTAAGGAAAGATTTTTGTAATGCTAATATGTATGTTTACTAATACCTTTTATTTCCTTTGTTAGCTCTCACATTTATTACTGTTATTTAAGTAATTAGCCTGCTTGTTAAATATTCTTTACTTGTCCTTGTGATAGGTATTTCTATTTCTTTATTTTCCTGTTTGCTACAATTGGCTTCGAAAAGTAAAATTGTAATCCTGTAGTTCTCCGGCAGAAAACGGGGGAAGAAATTTTGATTCGCGCAGTTGGACTATACCGAGACGAAGGGAAGATGTTTTTATTTACGCAGTTGGAGTATATCCGTAACAAACAGACTAATATGTGTGAAAGTGCTTCCATTGACTAGAATGATTGCAGGCAATAAAATAATAAGGATAAGGAGTCTTACAAATATTGGTAGGAAGCAACATGAGAGTATTATTGTTAAAGGGGACTATTGTTTTATTTATGCGATTTTGTGTTGGTTCACTATAAATGTCCGTTTCACTTTTCAAACTGTTGCCACCAAATGTTAGAGTCCTACATTATATTTGAAGAAATTAAATAAATGAAAAATCTGCATAAATGTATTTATATTTCTCGCATTGTGATAAAACAACGGTGCCTAGAGCCATCGAATTTTGAATGACGTAATCCTACTCTGAATATGGGCATGTGGAAGCCCAAATTTGGAATTCGTTTTATTATCGATTTCCTATTTTGTAAAAATTTAACGAATTTTTGATTAACAAACTCAAGGATTTCAAAGCGAGCAATGGCAACATTGTACAGAAAAAAACATTTTTATCTCCAGCGAGTGAGATATTGGGTTGTTTACTTTTATATTCGCTTTTCGGGATCTTTGCGAAAGTATAGCTGAAATCTTGGCCGAAATCTAAAATCGCCAACTATTGTTAAGGGCCATTTCAACAATGAAGTACCGACTTTTATTACATGAATGAGGTGAACAGAAAAAAAGAATCATTGATACAAATTTTAAGCAACGGATGAAAGAAAATACAAACAAAACTTACAACGGACACTGGGAATTTTCCACTTCTGATATTCTTTACATTTAGCTTCAGCTTTGGCTTGTAGTCGCAGACCATCTTCGCATGCCAGCGGAACGCTAGTTCCATATGGGACAACATCATTATCCAATTGATCCCCAAGTATGATTACTTTATCCGGAAGCCCTTGATAAAGAGATTCTAGAGAACATGGTGGTCCTAAAAAATATACAAGTTGATCGTAAATTTTATTTTGCTTCAATATCAAATTCGAAAAGGAATACGGCCATTCTGCTTCTACCTTTCAATTAACCTAAAATACTATGTAGGATTATTTATAAATTTAAATTCACTGTGGTTCTAACTTTTTTATATAAAATTGCATTTACAGAACAGAAAGAACTTCTTCCCTATATATTACAGGAAATACGTTTAGTCTGTTTCCCAAATGAGCCATTACTTTTAGTCATAATCTAAAATGGCTAAAAGAAAAGAAATATTTACATATTAGTCAATTTTTTTAATAAAACAACAAACACTGAATCAGAGCTGGTCAACGAATTGATCACGGGATTGGTTTCGATCGATTGTCAGTTTTCCATTTACAGCAAATTTCCTATTAACCACCCTCTATGTAAATGAACATTTGATCGGATAAATGAATGGTTAATCAATCTGAAAATGCATGTGTACGAGTCAGCTCGGAAAAACACGAATAAAAAATAGCACGTATACGATGCAGGAAATAATAAAAATTCATGTTTATTCTATGTAGGTTTTTACTTTATTTTTCTAATTGTTATTTTTATTTTGGAACAAAAATTTCTATATTTTCTCATTTCCCACCTATGTTTCCCTTCCAGAATGAGTTTTCAGGATTACGATTTATGCAAATGAGGTAGAAACGAGAACTTACGCTCAGGCCTGTGGCACTTCAGTGGGAGAGTGTGTTCTGACTTCGGCCACGTCGCTGCTACAGGATTTGTACACATTTCTGCATGCAGAAATTAAGGACTTTTTAGGACCATTAACAAAAAAAATTGAGGACCTATTGGCAAATGGAAGCTGATTAAATTCAGCTAAAGATATTATCTACGTCTAAACTTCACTTTTGTAATACCATTCTAAGAGTAAAATAGATCCGTAAGTGGGATACGTTATTATTTGGGACATTTTATTTACATTTTAAAAATTAGCTTTATGTTGATTTTTTCTTTTATGTCTCATTTTTCCATGTACTTAGCCTAGAGGTTTAGTACATAGCAGGTATATTTTATGTCAAACGGCATAGGTTAAAACGAGAAATAAAATCATAATCAGCATAATTCGTAACAGAAGATTGGCAGTTGTCAGTGCTGCGGTTTGACCAGAGAGAGATGTGTAGATGAGAACAAACCTGAAAGCCTGATGTAGGCATAGCTGGCAAGTTTTGAAAGTTAGGTTCTGTCTGATGGAGCTGATATTAAGTACTATTAAATTTCTCAGTAATTGTAATCGGTACTATTTAATGTGTGCAACATGTACCATGTTAATATTATTGTAATATGTAACATGCTAATATTCTCAGCAATTGTATTTTTTTTTTTTTTTTTGTAACTGTAAATTGTAAATGTGTGTAATATGTACCATGCAAATATACCCCATGTCTCAGTAATTGTGTGTAATATGTACCATGTCAATATTCACAGTACTATTTAATGTGTATAATATGTACCATTCTAATTAATTAGCATGCACTATTTAACGTGTGTAATATGTACCAATGTGTGTAATATGTATTATGCCAAACTGTAAATAATAATTAATGCGTAAAGCCAACCTATGTGCTAACCTAAGAACCCAACTATACATAATTATAGTAAGAATTGAATCAAACAGGTGTAAAGTACCTTAAACATAAATATTAAGTACCCTAAACAAAAGTATTAATCAATCTGTCAGTAAATGTAAACTGCACTATGAAATGTGTATGATATGTACCATGCAAGTATTAATTAATATTATTAATTAATAATTAAATTCTTAGAAATGTAATTTGTATTATGTAATGCGTGAACTATGTACAGTGCAAGTCTTCTCAGTAAATATAAGCTGTACTATGTAATGTGTATAATATGCACCATGCAAACCTGTAAACAATAATGAATGCGTAGTGTTAAACTATGTGTTAACCTAAATACCTAAGATGTAAAGTACCTTTAACATAAGTATTAATCAATCTCTCTGTGTGTAATATGTACCATGCAAGTCTGTAAATAATAATGAATGCATAGAGTTAACCTAAGTATAATTAACGTAAATATTGAACCTTACGGATGCAAAGAACCTTAAACATAAGTCATATTCAATTTCCCAGTAAATGTAATGTGTAATATGAAATGTGTGAAATATGTACCATGCAATATGAATGTAAATGCACCATGCAAGTATGAATAAGCAAGTCCGAATATGGTACGGCATGTGTAATAGTCGTGCAAGTCAGAGTATGGCAATATGTACCATGCAAGTCTGAATGAGTAGCGATAATCTAAGTACCTAATTATGTCATTCTAGATAAGGGTGGGCGTGGTGCTCATACCAATTAACCGTAACAGTAGAGGGATGGTGCCCACGTCCTCCGTCACTCACTCACTAACTCCATCTGTCTGATGCAGTTAGTGTACAGCTTCTGGGATTGTAATCCAGGTAATATAGTTTAACCCTCTGCACTCGAGCGGTGCCTCTCAGGCACCACTGCATGTGATGCGATAACTCGAGTGGTCTAGTAAATGAAACAGCGGTCTCATTAAAAGATACAACTAAAGTTTTAAAGGAATTTGATAAGAATACATAATTTACAAAACTATAATTGTCAACAAAATTGAATATTCTTTGTCAACGCTGAAAACAAATGTTTTTGAAAGAAGAATAAAGAACGTTAGTTTGCGGAAGACTGCTGCAGAGAAATTGTATGTTCACGGAGAAATATCTAGAGATATGCTCGCGGTAATATCTATATACTCGCTGTAGCAACGTTATGCCACATTATTATTTTCTGCGACAGACACTATGTGAGACTGGTCTACTTCTTTACCATCGGTGTTGGAACTAGTTGGTGGCTGCGTTGTCCTCTTCGAAAGCTTTAGATTAGGCTCCGTAGACGATACCTCAGCTACGACGACTGTTCTCTGCACCGATGGTTTTGATGTCGAAGCAGCTGTGACTCCTTCTTCTACATATGGTGTGCCATCTGGAAAAAAAAAAGCTTTTATTATTCTCCAAAACTAAATATTCTAAACAGAAATGTTCACAATAGTACAAGGTAATACAAAGCTCATGCACATCAAACTTTCAAATATTGCAGCAATTTCGAAATGAATATTAATAACAAATAGCTTGAATTGTTTTAAAACTGTACAGTTGCAAGTAATATATCACTTGAAATATCTGTTGCAGTTTATGCTGTTAACCACACAAACCGAAGGTTAGATTCGCTACTTTAGGCTACGTGACCAGCTAAACAGTGCATGACAACTGCCCCTTCTTACAGCTCCGTCCAATCTTCACATTTTCTCACAGGAAGTAATTGGGCTTCAAAGTTTTTCCCACCTCAGCTTATACCTCATCTGGAGAATACCATCTACGGACTTTCTCAGACATCAGGCCCAATTCGGGATTCATGTCTCGAAAGCGCGACTTAGGATATATATTAAATTATATTAAATATTGATTATATTATCTCCTAATATAAATTTAGTAGAATGTATCAAAATAAGGGAACTCAGAAGTAGGAAGTTTAATTCCGAAAATTGTTTTTTAAAAGGAACTTGAATGTAAATCATGAAAAAAAAAGCGTTTTAAAGGGACTTGAATTTAAATCATGAAAAAGACTTTGAAAGGTATTTGAATTTAAATCATGAATAACGAAATTTCAAATTTTGAAAAAGAAAATTAATAAACTAAGTAATTATCGTCATTGATCGGAAATTAGTTGACTTTTCAAGGGAAACAAACCAACTCCCGTTCAGTGAACAATAATTAATAAATGCGAAGATGTTTCGTCTTTTACTCAAATGAGAATGATGATGCCAAACTGGAAAATTAAGTTAGGCCAAAATTGTATTTCCATTATGTGACTAGATTTTAGACAATTTGAGACTCTAAAGCCAAATTAGAGTACCAAAAAACTCACTTTGAATGTAGCATTTTCGCTAATACTAATAGATTTTTTAGAAATTTCGAGTGAATAGCCAAATTATGTAGTAAAATTTACAAGATACTCGAGAAAATTGTCCCCTGACACCCTCGCTTTCATGCATGTTAATTCAAGACTATTTTTATAAACTAATGAACAGTAGTAATCTTAACTGGAATTATGAAATAAAACTCAAAGTAACTGAAATAAACATGAGAAAGACAAGAAACATAACAAACTATCCTATCTTTGCAAACAAACAAACAAAAAAAAGAATAACAGTTGAGAAATTGAAATATATATAAAATAAGAAATAATGACATGTACATGAAATACAAAAGGCCAGACATGAATTAATTAATTTACGTTCTTTCTAGTGGGATGTCGGTAATGTGGTTTTTTCTGTTTCTTACTCGGTAATGTGTTCTTTTCTGTTTCTTACTCGGTAATGTCTTCTTTTCTGTATCTTACTCAGAAGGGGTGGTGTAGGCCATACTATCCGAAATTCTGCTATCGGCAGTGGGGATACTTTGAATTATTACAGGCAGTGAACCTTTGAGAAGCTATTTTTGGTACGTGGGAGGAACTTGGTATGTTTAAAGAGAAGGAGTTCTTATGTGAGTGAAAAGCCTCTGTTAAAATTTTGAATATACTAACTGGTGAATGGAAATTAATTTATTTCTGGCTAACTGTCATTGCAGAACGAGAAAGAAAAGAAGAAAAATATTATTTTATCTACCAATGAGCTATTTGGAAGACTACAGAGTATAAAATAGGCTCATTTTTTTAGTAACAGCATAAGAAAAGTCTGAAAACAATGATATTTTACATTATATGCAATTTTGTAATTACACTATGCACAAATCCTCCAACTGATAGTCATCCAACTTATACCGCCTTTTTAGGTTTAGGAAGAAATTATCATATCCCTATCAGTTAAATGATTTAGAGAGAGCATTTAACGCCTGCTCTTTTAAGACAATGGTTAATAAATCGATTAGGTATTAGATTATTTTTGAGAATTTTAATAAAGAGCATAATTTCGAGTTGTAGATCTATCGTATCTGTGCAAATATTTTAATACGATGTATTTGATTTAAGATAGTATTACTAATAATTTTTTGGAGATGTTGGAAGTCCAATTTATTAATTTGTTAGTATTGAAATTGAAGTTTCTTGTTTTGTCAAACGGTAAAATGTTTTTAAAGTTAATTATTTGAAGATCAAGATAGTCGATGTTATTTTGTGAATGATTAGTTTTATTAAGTGTAAGGCATTCTGGATAAATCTCGGAGTTTTCATTATTATTAAAATTATTCAATGGAATAAGATGTGAGTGTACTTGTAGTAATTTAATTCTTGCTGTTGTAAATATTTTGGAAGGTAAATTCTTTGATAAATAAAAAGAGATTACAGATGGAAATATTTGAATATGCGCCCATTGGAGGTCCCCTGACTTGCTTAAATAGCTGATTTTGAAATTTAATGTAGTTAAAAAAAATTTTTTTTTAAATTTCAGAACTCTCCAATATGTAAATTCACGTATATCTTAAAAAATTTGGAATAAAAAACTCTAATTTTTTGCAGATGTGCCTAGAAATACATGTACTTTAAGATGATGCTAAAACTGTTGTACGTTATAATAGAACATTGTTTTGATAAATTTGTAAAAAAGATTTAAAAATAAATCATAAAAAATGTTTGAATTACACTTGGATTAAGCCTAAATTTCGAATTCTGGAAGAAGGAAACAGGTAAATTTAATAATAATAATAATAATAAAAAGGGGACATTAATAAATATATATCAGATTCAATTAACGCTGAGGAGTGTAAAATTTTGACAGCTATTTTTTTTTTAAAAAACTACTGGTGCGATTTTTACAAAACTTGGCAGTTTGGCATAATTTTAATCGTAGAATAGAAATATGGGAAAAAAATTGGCATGTCATTTCGGAAAAAGTCATATTTTGCGTCAAAATACCTATATTAGACCAATGCTATATATAAATCGAATACATATCCTAAGTGATGCTTTCGCAACACAAAAAACGCAGTTTGAATTTCGTTAATCGGCCCAGTAGAACGGGAGATATAGAACTGTCCCATTTTTTGTTTTCCAGTGTACGTACAGACATCATGAAAAAAATCTCTTCTGAATGCATTTTAAATCAATTTTATAATACGTTGGGAAGAAAAAGGGTCCTTTTTTCTATCTCAAAAACATCGTTAAATTGCATTCGATAAGTCAAAATGGATATTTTGTTCAAATATGATACCTGAAACTTTTCGTGATTACAATACTTTGCTTTACGTTGCACAAGGAAATAAGAAAAAGAGAGCAATTTGCTATTTTCACTGAACTTGGGTTCTTCAGAATCTAGTTCTTTTTCTTTTCCTGCTGCTATTTGAACCAAAGAAAAGCACTCACTGTAAGCAGCATCTTGCTCCAAATACGGATGCCTTACGGCTTCAGTTATTCTTTAGGTCTCATAAAAAATGCTGCCCTAAACAATCACTCAAGAGCGGAAAATGTGGTCGTGGCTAAAGTCAAAACAATGTATAGTCATTGGCTATCATGTGATTCCTTAGCAAGCATTCAAAAGGGATGTGCAGGAACTTCAATTACTTGGGAGAAAAAGTCGCTTTCACAGCACACCTTCTTATTATTTTTTTAGTATTATATTCACAATTCCTAAACATTTCAGAGGAAAAAAAAATGCTGGTGGTTCTGAGGTCCGGATATTAGACTATTCTTGATACTCGACGTCCTGCTTCTGCGTTATGCTCACTTAAGGCCTTTATTTTCAAAAGTTACAGAAAAGCATCGGTCAAGTTAAGGGAAACTCCATTCCCGAATTGAACTGTGACAGAGCCATATCGACTATCACAACCAGACTTAGGACAAATCACTTAAAAGGCATGAGGATTTCTGCAGACGGACAGCATAGTTACACCAACATTTGCCCTCATTGCCCAGATGACATCCCACTTTCTCGCCATCCCATCTTCAGCTGCCCAGCAATCCAGGCCAGGGCTGTTTGACATCGGCATTGAAGACCCAGTGGACCTACTTTATACTGATAGAGCTGCCGAGGTTGCAATAGCTGTCTTTGACAGCTCCGAAGCTATATAACTGCACTTTGTCATAGACACGACATCATCACAGAAAAGCATAAAACAAAAAGAAATACTTACGAGGGAGGCAGACTGGGTTAGGGTACCATTTGCCTTTCAGGCACGTTACGGGAAGATATGAAGAACCAGACCCATGAACTGAATATCCTTCGAAACACATAAGATGGCGCACGTTACCTGACGATATTTCTGTTCCGACAGGTATCTACAATGAAATAATATGAATGAATCTCAACTTAGGAAGTACATATTAATTCTGAAAAAAAGAATTCAAATTATTCACTGACTAATTATTGAAACGATATAAATTATAAAGAAAGGGTTTGCAAACCTGTGTGTCACACATACATATTTCCTTTCTTTGTTTCTTTCTATCACCACTGGTGCTCTTAATCTTTATCCTTATTTTTCTTGCCCGTACCATTCTTCAAATAAAACTATGCTGCCTCGAGATGCTATAGCCATGTACTATTTTTAAAGAATTAATTCAGTTTAAAAAAAGTATGACAACACTTGCTCTCATTTACCGAGGAAAATGTAGCGATCTCTTGACTTGTAACGTTGTGTACTCTAGAGCTGTAGCTGGCAGCACGTGTACTGGGTAATCGGAAGATGTAGATTATGAATCCCATTGCCAGAGCCTGAAGAAAGGCGGGACCAGAAAGTAGTACCAACAAAATATTAAAACTTCTACACAGTTCCAATTTTGAAATCACGTCACCCGTCTCAAGTTAACGTCACCGTTGTTACATACCCGCTATTCGTTTTTACTCAAACTGTTATATGAAATTCTGTTCATATACGTTTTCGAACAGTAAAGAACTTTCCAGAATAGTGTAGAACTTTAAAAGCAGAATTTAAGTGTGCTCTCTTCTTCGAGAATATTGCGAAAACGGTGAAAACAATCGCCCAAAGTGGATGATGAGCTTCCGAAAGCTCATTAAAAAAATCTTATGTGCACACTACATGGTTTCTTTGCACGAAATATTAAATTATATGCATTTTCCCCTGCATTTGAATTAAACATATTTCCGATAATTCCATTAGAGATATATATAGTTCTCATTCAATTAATCGAGTTCTCACTTCCCGGCCAGGCCAAAATATATAAATCCTCAGAATATCGTTATCAAAAATTGAACAATACAGAAAAATATAAAACACCAAATACAGCTAAAACAATTAAAAAACAGTTTTTACAATTAAAATTAAAAGTTTCCACGATAAAAACAAACAATTTGGCCAGCTTGGAGGGCGGCAGTTCTTTCAGTGCACAAAACTAACATACCGTTTTCTGTGCCCAAGCTTACTTTTGGTCCCACAGAGCAAAAAGATACTGAAGGTACAGAAGCTGACTTAATTCACTATTCTGCTAAGTTTCAAATGTAAACAAATATGGCAGGTGTGGTATAAAAATTAGGCTTAGCCGAACTTAAATGACTTTTAAATTGTTAATAATTCTACAAGTTTTGCATGTAGATTAACTAATGACATAAAAACTTTAATTGGAAGATAAGAACAACATAATTTAATCATTTTTAAAGCAAAATATGTACAATTTAACAACATGTAAGAATGAATAAACTGAACTCACAGAGCCGAGTAACAGAGTGGGTATATACATATTTATATATTTTTCGTGCGACCGATTTCAACCAAAAAGGGAGATGCACAACTACATGTTATATCAGTCCTATATACAACATTGCAACGTTCTGAGGCTACTCGTTTTCAAGTTATGCGAGATACATTCATATGTACGTTTGTACATAAAGACGTCCAGAAATAATCGCTTCTGAATTCATTTTTAAATTCTCTTTGCAAACCGTTTTGGGAAAAGGTATCTGTTATTCTGTTCTACGTAGAGATGTTACGTAAAAACCTCGTTAAATTGTATTTGATAGAGTTCAAAATGGATATTTTTGTTAAAATATGATACCCGATAATTTTCGTGACTAGAATACTTTCTTTACTTTGTACAAGGAAGCGAAAAAGAAAGACACATCCGGTAACAAAGAAAATACCAGTTCTTACTCAAACCGTCACATGGTACTGCATTAGTTCTACATTGTTGTACAGTTTTATTTGAGCTTGGTAAAATTTTGCAAGTCACATTGAAATTAAAAATATGAGGAAAATCATTGTCTACCTGATATTTTGGAAAAACTACCTCCACATCTTTTAACGAAGCTTCTGCACTCTGCGGTGTTGCAAACTCAGCCAATAGGGGGCGATAGTGAGCCCTTGAATTTAAAACTGATTTGTTTACTTTTATCTTTAGAATGTAGTTGAATGTAGCTAAATGTGTAAGATGTGCCTTGTCAAGTGAACTGTTTCTCGTATAATATGTCGATAAAGAATTAAAAGCTAATTAATTTTCAATTACTCTTCTTTAGAAGCTCAGAAGATTAAGAAACAGGTAAGAACTATTATTTATATCCAATTTTGTTTTATGCGGAAAGCACAAGCAACGCCGAATATTTCAGCCAGTACATAATATTCCAGCTTCACAAATTCAGATACTCGACCTTAAAATAAGTTTTGCCAGCTCACCATCTGTTTCTTCAACGTCAGTGTAATTGAGAATCGGTAAAATGTTTTTCACAAAGAACATCCAATTTTTAAATTGTATTCACTAACTTAATTGATGTTGCTCATTTGTTTTGATTTCGTCAAACATTTCTTTCCCTTTTTATGCCTTTCTTGCGCGTCAGCATAAAATTTGATATCAGATATTGTTGACATCCTAGTTTTAATTTTTGTATACAGTTCCTTAATTTAACAGATAAATTTTGCTGCAAATATACACAAGTCGTTAAACCACCACTAGTATCTTCTATAGATTTGCAGGAGGCATTCATTCCTGCCAATATTTCACTAATGTGAAACCTCCGAATAACAACTTGTAGCCCAGTGCCAGGAATGAATTCACAAACTATAGAAGACAACAAATATTATTCATGTACAATGTAGCCCGGGCCTCAGCGACATCGCAAGAAAATTAAAAAGGCGGGCAGACTCGGAAAGGAATGATGCTCTATGCCTCAACCTTTAACTACAGAACCATATGCAGACAAATTACATCGACACTCAGGAAGACGATGGACAACGTGTGGAGGGCAAGTCTGTTGGCAAAGGGAAACGATCGTAACAAGATCCATCCCAATAATCTACTGCGAGATGCCGCTGTAGCCATCTTCAGATTGATCACAGGCAAAGACTATCTTCAGAACCATCTCCATAAATTCGGCATTGACAACTCCCCAGCATGCCCTCTATGCAGCCCCTATGAACGCTAATCATCTCGGCACCTACAACGCTCTGGAGGTAGAAACCCGAGAAGACAGATTGGAAGAATGTACACGAGTATAGTGGATGGCGCGGAGTCAAACCATTGACCTGCCAAAGATGGGCGTTGGCTGAAGAAGAAAAATATATTTTGATAATGTAGCTTGCAGATAACCTCGAGCAACACTTTTCAAAACTAATTATAGTGCATGTGTTGCGCAAAGCACACAGTGTACTATTTTTCATTATATTGTTTAATTCTAATTGCAAACATTTTATATTGATTAGCCATATTTGCTGCATTATATTAATTGTAGTCTTTACTGTCTTCTATATTATGCATAACAAATTTATCTAGTTTGGTACTGTAGTTTCCAGTGGTGCGCCAGTATCCGAAGAAGCCAAAGAAATGCTTCCTATATTATTACCTAGGTTGTGCCATCAAGACAGCTCACTCAGGGCCAACCAAACTCTGCGCAGCCAGATTGGAACACAAAAATGTCCGTGAACTATATTTGGACGACCGATAATTTTCGAGATAAATAAAAGTATAAAGTCATATCCGATGTGCTACCTAACCGTATTGAACAAACCAGGCTCAACTAACATTCAACATTTAAAAAACTGTGCCAAATATCAGACAGTCGCATGTATTCTGACCACTAGGTTTTTCTACAGAACGAACAACAGCTAAGACAACAGCGAAAACTCTGTGCCAAATCCTTGCCAATTACGATTCTTGCTCTTCCGCATACCTTAAAATCTGCTTAATCCTGTGGACTAAGCCAGAAGGAAAGTAAGGCATAAAAGAAAGCATCAACACAATATTTTAATCTGTTAGAAAAACTTTAATAAATGTTCATAAGTTGATTATCATGAGTTATGTCAGATAATCAACAATTAATGGTACAATACTTTGATTTCTAACTTTAGTCTTGAAATGCTCATTATTTTTTCACAAATAACGTAACTAATCACATAGTTTCATTGACAAATCATTTGCATTTCCTTTATCTTTCAAGTCACATTTTTGTATATGAAATGCTACATTCGAACTCCTCTATAACGAATCTGGCTTATAACGATACCTGTGATATAACGAAGGAGCTTTTCAGTCTTGTTTTTCAGTTACGTTCAGGTTTAGTACAGTTTTTATGTTTAGTTTCTTTTAGTTTAGTCTAGTTTTTTAGTTTACAGCTTTTTAGTCTTGGCGCCCTTTTTTTCAGTTTGCGCCGAGAAGACTTGGCAAAATTAGTAAATTTTGGGAACCTATTTTCTGTTACCTTTCATTGTACATGAACGGGAAAAAAAGGTGCCGTAAAATCCATAAAACATATTTGGCGTTATTATTGCTTGAAACCAAAACACCAAATTTCAGAATGCTGTAACATGCAATTTCATATATATCTTAGGGAATTTTGAATAAAAAAACTCTAATGTTTTGAAGATATGCTTAGAAATGTAAATATTTTAAGATGACGGTAATCACTTTATAGGTCATAATTAAAAAGTTTCGAATAATTTATAAAAGTTACTGAAAAATACCATTTCCAAAAATAAATCAGAATATAGCTGCGAAATGTATTTGGGTTGAGCATAAATTTTAAGCTGTCAAAGTTTAAAATTTACAGTTTAAAAGTTTTTAAGTGCTACTAAGCCTAACGAAGCATCCATTTGCTAACGTTTGGAGCTCTTAGTAGAATAATGAATTAAGTCAATTTTTGCACTTTCAGTGTCTATTTGCGTAGTGGGACCAAAAGTAAACATCTAGTTTTTTGCACCGAGAAATCTGCCATCTTGCCCGCTAGCCGAATTGCTTCTTTTTCGTATAAACTCTAATTTGAATGGTAAAAACTGTTTCTTTAATTGTATTCATTGTTAAGGTTTCTTTGATTTTACAATTTTTAATGAAGTTTTGAGTTTTTATATAATTTTGTCTTGCCGCAAGGTGGGAGCTGAATTAATTGAATGAGAAACATATCTGTAATGAAATTCGAGGAAATGCGTTTAAATGATACGCAGCAAAAGTGTATAAAATATAATAGGCTCTACAAGGAAGTCATGTAGTGTCCACACCAAATTTTTGTGAGTGAGTGTGCAGAGTATATATGTATCAATATTAATCAGTTTTTCTTCTTTATTCATCAGTCGATTTTACATGTTTTTGTGAAATAATCCATTTTTCGGCTAATCTTTGGAATATGGTAACAGGTAGTTAGGTGACATTTTGGTAAGGCGATAAAGGTTACTAGCTACGACTTTAGCAGTGTACATGGATAAAGTCAAGAGTGTGCGGAATGCCATTTTTGTGCAATTCTGGGATGTTTTTTTAAGTGAAAATAGGTCGACGTGTACATGGATGATACCGTGTATGTGCAATTCTCAAAAACGCTGCAAGCAGTGGGCGATTCTGCACTTTCTCTCAATTTCGCACCTAATCTTCATCATGATTAAGCACTTTTGTTCCATAAAAATTCTAGCATAAGCGTAATTCGGCTAGAAGATTGTTGGGAAAAAAAATAATGAGTTAAAAAAAAAAAAAAAAAGCCTTTACTTCGTGAAAACAAAATGGCGTCCAAAAAAAACTAGCAGGTTGCTGTAGCAGGGTTGGTCGCCAAATTTTCGCCAGGTTACCATAATCCAAAGATTAACCCATTTTTCTTATAGGATCACACATAGTATATTTGATCTGATATAGAGAACTGAACTTCAGGTCCTTGAAGTTCGTTATAAGGGGTTCGACTTCATTTTAAAAATTAATAATAGTTAATTAATTTTTGGAACACAAGAAACTGAATAACTAAATTACTTCTTCGAATACATCATCTCGCACTCTTCCATTCCTCGTCCAATACCGCATTCCAAGACGTCGCTCTGTAAGTACTCCATTATGGATTCTAGAAATTTCACAACTTCCTGAAACGAAATTAAAAAAAAAATAATCAACTTTCCATTTATTTTAAATGAGTAATCATCCCTTAAAAAGGGAAGTTTTGAGTCGCACTACATGAGATATTAAAAAAATGGAACTTACAATCAAATTTTTTTGTATTAAATATAAATATAAAAATTTCAACTAGTATAGAAAATATAACATTTCATTTGTGTTCGAAGAATAGTTGTTAAGTTGACTTAATATGAATTTCAAAGTTCTTAGTCAGAATCGAAGTATGTACAATATAACACGGTAGGGGCAATGTGTCATCGTGTTGTCACTCTGCGAAGCGTAAGATATTAATGTTTCAAATTTAACCAGAAATCACGGTGATATGAAAACAAATATGTTGCCACTGCTCGAATTAAAAATTTTTTATTCCCCACACGGCAGTGTTTGTCAGTCAGAAAAACGCAAGATATTTAATTTTTGTTTCAAATTTATTTGTTATTAATTAACAAGCTATTTAAAAACAATAAATGCCAATTCATTTCTTGAATTATTATTACTAATAACTAGTTTGATCCGCGAAATAGCACTAGCTGGATTCATTGAAATCATCAATATATATACAAAGAAAAGTATCCGATTGCATGTTTATATGTGGGTAATTCAACACAAGTATACACTTTTATTCGGGTCTCGCAAATATTTCGCACACTTGACCTTCAAAACAAGAAGAAATTCTGCATTACATTTCGATAAGCCATCCCACAGGGGCATACTGAGGGAGTTTATTTTAGAATATTGCGCTCACGAAACCCATCTTAGATTAACATCGCGGTGTTACTTTCCTGCTATCAGTGAAATTTATACATGCTAAGAAAGGACGTTTTAATATTTCATTTACCAACAATAAATATTGTTACGAATTTTGCATTTAGATAGCTAATGTTAGTAGAATTATAATTAAAATTGTTTTATTTTCCCGTGTATTGCAGCGCGTGACAAATTTTAAGAGAAAGCTATGACGGAAAAGTAAAAATACAGGCGCATGTGCATTTAACATTTAATAAAGGTTTATCTCGGTAATTTATATTTAATTTGAATAAATGTAATTGACTGCTATATTTGCCGTAACCATAATTCTATTCCTTTGCTTTACAGAAATCTTGAGAAGCAGAAATTGCTAGAAATTTCTCTCGACCGACTCAAAGCATAACATGGCAGACAAAAAAAAAAAAAAAAATCAGACAGGCATCTCAGCTTATTTGTTTAGTTAGCTGCTGTTGTCATCATTGGTCATATTAGCTTTCTTTTTAAATGCGCAGTGGACTGCAATCTGCAGACTTTTCATTTTTGATATTACGTCGTCGTCGTTACGTTCCAGCTATCAGTTCTTCCAAAAATCATTACATGGCGCAGTTTTCGTTTACTATTTAGAATACTGTTCCCAAAACGGACCTCAAGGTCCGTGGATTTTCCCAAGGTGGATTCACATACAAAAATTGCTTTGCGTGATTTTCATTCTGGTCAAAAGCAGCTACACCCTTTGTGAATTCTTTCTCCAGTCTCTGTAAGGAAGTGGCATTAGTGCTGGGAATATCCTAACCTTGTTTGCCAACGACCTTTGATTTTCCAATGGGAAAAAGGGTCGTGCTGGTTCGCGAGGAATGGCCTTCAGAAATGCCTCAAAGACTTTCTCCTCAGATCTCAGGATTCCAGAATAAAGTGACCGAATGTTTGGATCCTACAACCTACTTCATATGATAATGTTATATTTTAATTTTACATGTTCCTTTTACAACGATAAGTCTTTATCAGTTAAAACAATGAAAGGCAGACACTTACTTTCTTGGCACGGAGATAATAAATGTTCATTCCACTTTCCTTCGAAGCAAAATGGCTGCTCGCCTGTCGGAGTATATTCATGATCACACACAACATCCAGATATTCATTGTGATTGGTAACTTCTCTAGATTCGAGAGATACACCCGTTTTCTTTCTTAGATCTTTCAAGTAGCATCTACTTGTGTTTAGTTGTTTACCTGGTGAGTTACAACAGGATATAAATAAACACAATTTATTTCAATGATAAATGAATATAGGGCTTAGTTACACAGGACTCAATTATAAGTATAGAAATAAGTATAGGGCTCAGTTTCATATGTTTTTGTGCAACCTGATGTTTTTAGTCCAAAGGGATTAGAGACCCAAAGGACTATTACTTTTGTTTTGGCATTTTGCGTCGGACTCCTATAAATGTCGGTTCACTTTTCAAACTGTTGCCACAAAATGTTAGATTCCTGCATTATATTTGAAGAAATTAAATAATGAAAATCTGCAGAAATCTATGTATATTTCTCGCATTGTGATAAAACAACGGTACATAGAGTCATCGAATTTTGAATAACGTAATCCTCCAACGAATATGAGCATGTGGAAGACCAAATTTGAAATTTGAAATTTTTTTTATGATCGATTTCCTATTTTTTAAAACTTTGACGAATTTTTGATTAACAAACTCAAGGATTTCAAAGCGAGCAATGGCAACGTTGTGCAGAAAAAACATTTTTATCTCCAGCGCGTGAGTCTCTGTATCGGAAATTCTAAAGATATGCTCGTTTTAAAACTATTTTGCGATATTGCTGTTGCACTGGATCTTATGGTTTAAGTGCGAGGAACATGATATTTAATAAAGAAAGGTAACACACAAAATGTTAAAAAACGCCCCTTTGGACGTAATTTAAAATCTGAAACATTTCAGATTTTTTTTTTTTTTTTTCATTTTTTCCTCTTACAAAAACAAAAGTTTTGGCTACGTCACTTGTTCTCAAAGTTTGCGCCGCGGCTTCCACTTCCAAATTTGGACTTCCACATGTCCATCTTCCGGTGGATGACTACGTTATTCAAAATCTGATGTGTCTAGGAAACATGCATACATTCACGCAGATTCTTCATTATTTAATTTCTTTGAATATAATGCAGAGCTGTAATATTTTGCGGCAACAAACTGAAAAGTGAAGCTTCGTTTATAGTGAACCAATGCAAAATGCCAAAATGAAATTAATACTGGGCAAATTGCCAATTTGGGCTGAAATCTGGAAGTCACGATACGGTCTTCACACCCTCTCGTGCAGTTCTCTCTCACATATGAATTACATATAAGCGTTACATGTTTTTTTTTCTGTTATAATCTGCAAAGCAAATATTTCACGACATGATATTTTTCAGAGTTGCAAGTGCCTAATTCATAGCTGATTCAGTATAAAAATGTGGATAATTTATAAGCGTTTTATGCACATTTAAGACGTTATTTGCAAAGTGATTCGGCTCGTCATTATTTTTGAGCCGAATGTAACAGTTATAAGCGATTTACATTATCGTCCAAAAAACTAACGTTGGAACACATATACTTAAATACATTGTCGTTTCGTAATGTCAGTTCCTTGGAAGAATTTCATCTGTTTACTCAACAGATTGTAAAGTAAGTTCTTTCAAATATACTGTAAGGCAAAATTACCTGTGAGATCATTGATCATTATTATTGCTTATAATAATGATCAATGCATAGAGAAAATTAGAATTCGTATTTATTCATCAGATACATTTCAGTGTATTAAAAAAATCTGATGTGTACACCACGACTTCCTTGTACGGAATATTAAATTATATGCATTTTTTCTTGCATTTCATTTAAACCTTATTGGATTGAATTTAAATCTACTTCGTCTCGACAGCGCATAAACCACAATAGAATAAATGCATTCTTTAAAAGTTCACTCTAGTATTTGTTTACCATAGCGACACTCTGATGCGCTAGGTATCACTTAAGAGTGTTACATTTTGTTCATATTATAACTCAATAATGCATATAAATGTATATCATTTAAAGAATAAAATTATCTAATCGTTGCCACATGTTCTATTCCAAATACTATAATAAATGTAGAAACGAGGTATAAAAGAAATTAAGCAAACAAACAAAAAAGAAACAGTTTTTCACAGACGATTGAGTATTTCTCATTCAATTAATTCAGCTCTCACTTCGCGAGAACGCAAAAATACATAAAAGCTCAAAATATCTGTATTAAAAATTACAAAGTAAATCTTAAAATTTTATTTCCTCAAAAAAATTTCAGAAAGAATTATGCATGCTTTAATTCGCAATAATAAATGAAGGCGTTATCTTTGTTGTTGCGAAGCTAAGTTTCTCTAGATTGGCAACAAATCCACTAGTCTGCTTTTTCAAATGTAAACAATCAATGACCGCCATCATAAAAAAGGCTTAGCGGCACTTAAACAACTTTAAAATTGTTTATAATTCTAAACATATTGCATACAGATTTACTAAAGGCATAAAAACGTTAACCGGATGATAAAAAAAACATAATTCAATCATTTTCAAAGCAAAAAATGTACAATTTACAAACATATAAGAGTAAAGAAACTGAGATCACTGAGCCGGGTAACAGAGTGGATATATATGTAAATATATTTATATATGTTTGGTGCGGCCGATTGCAACCAAAATACGAGGTGCACATCTATATCTTTGTTATAGCAGTCCTATATACAAAATTTCAACATTCTGAGGCTACTTGTTTTTGAGTTATCCGAGATACGTACTTACATACGCACATACGTACATACGTTCGTACAGACGCCACGAAAAATTCACTTCAGAATTCATTTTAAAGCAGTTTTATCATTTTTTTGGAGGAAAATTGTCTTTTATTCTGTCCTTACGTACAGATATCACGCAAAAACATCGTTCAATTGCATTCGATAGCGGTCAAAATGGATATTTTCATTGAAATATGCTGCCTGAAACGTTTCACGATTACAATACTTCCTTTTTACTTCGTACAAAAAAGTAAAAATCTGATGTAGGCATTACATGGCTTTTTGTACAGCCTATTAAATTATACCTCTTTTCTGATGCACTTCATTTAAACTTATTTCCTTGATTTATTCTAACTTGATTAACTGATTCCTCAAGGAAAGAAGAAAATAGCAACCAAAACTGCAAATTTTAAAATTAAATATTCCTGGCAATTTCTGTCGTAAATTTCGCATAATTTTGTTTTTTCATAACGACTATAAAACTTTCTCAAATGTAAGTATCGGAACCGACAGACCACATTCAAATTTAGATTTCGTTCTTGGTCAAAAATAAATTTCCTTTTTTTAAAAACATGAATATTTTCTTCATCTAAAAACACTTCTGTACTTGGAAGCATATGAGTACGACCAACAATTGCGAAAATAAAGACCCAGTAAGGTGACTTGAGAGCTGGGTAAGCGAAACATTTCGGTTAACACATTTCAACGGAAATATCCATTTTGGCCATTTTTGCTTGAAGTCTGTACATATAGGTAGCATAAAGGATCTTTTTTCAACAACAGATTACTTCCAGATACGAAAGGGTTCTAAGTCATGAAAATGATCATGTTTTCGCATTGTCAGATTAAAAAAAAAATTGGGCAAATAACGAAATCTAAGGTTTAATGCGGTCTGCCAGTTTCTATACTTACCTTTGAGACAGTTTTATCCTCGTTATGAAAACATTTTATATGAAATTTGACTTTCAGACGATAAAAGTGAACCAGGATATTTAATATCAAAATTTGCAATTTTTGATGACACTTTCAAATTCCCTGTTTGTTATCCGATGATTCAGTTATAGATGCCTTGCATATTTAAAAGCTATTGCATACAGGAGGATCATAATGGAAACAACGAAAAGTTAGAAATCGAAATTTTCACATGATTTAAACTTTAATTGTAGTTCTAAATGCTGTTAAATCAGATGCATATTAATTGTCTGTTTAATATAGAAAAATCTGCATCCCTTCTGGGCTTCAGGCATTTCCCTTTTTGACTTGTTCTTTATCAATTTTACTTCTTTGTTTAAGAAAATTACACAATGCTGCTTGAGAAATCCCCATTTTAAAACTTGCTTCTCTTTGGCTACTTTTACCAAATGCATCATAATCAATTTATTCTTTTCTTTCAGGATTTAATCATTTCATTTAGGTATTTTTGACATGTAACAAGTCATGCACACAGCAAATAAAAATGTTTCTTATAGTGATTTGTTCAAATTCAAAAGCCTCGTTCTTGCCAATAGGAAGATTGAACCTTTGGGTGTGAAGTCGACCTGTCACTTCATGGTTATTATAGGGGTAATCAATGCTTTCTTTTCTTTTACAGATCACATTCCTTTTCAAATCAAAAACAGTTAATGTACGATAATGCAAGGAAGCAATTTATGATGTTTTATGTGAACACGCTGCAAACGTGTGTATGTACGTCCATACTCTATCAGCTGGTGTTCGAGAAAGGGAACCAGAGTTCACTTGAGCATCACCTATTCTTTAATCCCTGGAAACATTCATATATAATCAAAGAACGTGTTTTCAGGGCCTCAAGACTTCTGTTTGTCGTAAGATAAAGGTATTCTGTCACTCTCAGCTCTAATTCGGGCAAACAGTGGCTGACAGGTACTAGAGAAGTGTATCCAGCACACTCGGAGGTCTTAATTCTAACTACACTGGCTGAAATTTCTGCTAAAACCGTTTTATTGAAGCACTTCATAACTAAAAGATAAATGATGAACTACAAACAGCTTTCTTCAGCCATACTGAATAATCAGACTTTCGCCAGTTTGAGTTTTATAAGCGGCGGAATTGGGATTATTCAATTATGGCAAAGCACACGAAGGCTATCTGCCTAAAGGGAGGGATGCCTTTGTGGAGGATTTTCTAAGGGAAACTGGCTCTTATACACATTACACATGGGGAAAACCACGAAAACGCCCATGCAGCCAGCCCATTCGTGGGATTCAACCTCAGACCGAACTACCAGTGTTCAGCGTCTTTACCGCTCGGCTGCTGGTGGGCTTTATAAGGGGCGGAGATGATGACTTAAACGATGTTTTTTCTACTGATTTAGTATATATTCATTTTGGTTCCTGGAAATTTGAACGCTATAAGCGGCTGAGTTTAAAAATCACAAAAGACTAGCGCTGAGTGGCATATTTTAACCTCATTTATTTATTAACTGACCCTCAGTATAAATTAAAAATGGTGCCAAATATCACGAATTTTTCCAAATTCCGGTCCAAATTCGTTGCATGGGAGTGAAACGTTTCGTGCTTTATTTTCTGTGATGTATGCAAAACGTTTTTTAATATAAGGACAGAAGAGACATGTAAAATGTTAGATTTCATATTTCATTTAAAATTAAGTTTCTAAAATGCTTAAAATTCAGAAACATGAATGTCTTTGTTATTTAAAACATTTGTGTGTAACTGGAAGTATTAATATCTACGACCAACAGTTGCGAAAATAAAGGTCAGTTAATGACTTTTGTCTATACAAATATATTAATATTTTATATAGCTGGACATATTGTGAATGTAGCTGGACATATTGTGAATATAGCTGGACATGTGAATATAGCTTAATATAGCTGGACATATTGTGAACGTTACTTTTTTACACTTACGTAAGCACTTAGGAGCTGCAAATGTCCATTCTAAAGTTTCAAGGCATCTTGTTGTCTGAACTCCTTGCAATCTGAAACCCTCCTGGCACGCATATGACACGATGCTTCCGATGCTAGGTACACTAGGCTTGATAACAATCATTCCATTCTCAGGTGCAACTGGAGGTTCACACAAGCCCTCTAGAGGGGAAAAATAAAAATATTGAAATTGTATAAATATACATTGTTCATAAAAAAGTAACAAAGCTAAATGGTTTAAAATGATGTTATAAGGTATTTCTCCCGCCTTCTTGGCATGCCTTCGTGGTGTGGTGGTCTGCACGCTCAGCCCGTAATTGAGAGGTCCGTGGTTCGATTGTCGGCGAAGGCGCTGCATATTTTTCATCTTGCCTGCTCCCAAAAAAATGTGCCTAATGTCTCTACAGTGGCACCCGAACTAAAAGTATTCTCCTCACCCAAGATTTGGCGACTGGGTCCCCTAAAAACCCCGTTGCCCTTTAAAAGAGGGAGTATATAAGATATTTCTCCCGCCTTCTTAGCATGCCTTCACGGTGTTGTGGTTTGCACACTCAGCGCGTAATTGAGAGGTCCGTGGTTCGATTCCCGGCGAAGGCGTTGCATATTTTTCATCTCTCCGGCCTTAAAATAACCTAATGACTCTACAATGTAAATAATAGTAAAACTTAAAATGCATAGCTTGTGTGTTATTAAAATTAGGTAGAAAGAAGTATGTATTTAAAGGAAGGTTTTGGAGGATAAAATCAGAGAGCGTACTGTATGCTTGAAAGCCACGCTGCTATCTATGATTATCCAGTTATCAGTATTCTGCGGCGCGCAGACAAGCCGAATGGGAAGCATAACTAGTATAATTCACAGTATAATTAGCTGCTTCGGTAATTACACTACAAAACACTTAGGCTATTCTTAAATTTCGTTAGTTTTAATTCATTCATTATCTATGATTTAAAGCTCAAGCTATCGGCTTCTGTACACACTAGTTGGGAGCTGTCTTTTAAATTTTATTTGGATTAACAAAGGGGCCTTTACACCCTTTTCCTGTCTCTCTGATACTTACAAGACACAGTAAAAATTTAACAGTTGTCTTTCAGAGTTCTGGTCATTTTGAGACATAATGGGCTATAGGAAAGCGAGATTTTACTCTACACACTCCATTTTCACATCATCCTGAAACGTAGGCACTTAGCTATTTTACGAACTTAAAATAAATTTCGTGTTTCAATAAATCGATTCAATACGAATTTATTTAACAAAGGGAGCTTAACCCCTTTTCAACGGGATTTTTCTATAAAAGTTTAGTTTTAAAAATATACAGTTTATTTTTCTTTGATTTTTGGACACGTTAAACTTTCATCCTTGCGACTGCTTTTACAAAAAGAATTTTGGAAAAATGATAATATTTTGTATTTAAAAAAAATTTTTTTAAATGAAGCTTAAGAGTACACTTCTCACATCTTTAAAAATGTGATTTTGGCAACAATTTTCCTGTCTTATTGTTGCTGATAGATTTTTAATGAAATCGCATCATTTTGATATCATTTTTGAATAGTTTCATCCTTTTAGAAATATGGGTTTGGCAGCAATTTTTCATTGTATTTCCTATGTCACTGTTTTTAAGATTTGTTGCCAATCTAGAGAAACTCAGCTTTGCAACAACAAAGATAACGCCTTCATTTATTATTTAAATCATGCTTAATCCTTTCTGGAATTTTTAAGAGATTTTCTGGTTAAGAGATTGGCATATTTCATTGTCATTTTTATATACATATATAATATATTTTATTGATTTTTTTTTTGATAAAGTTATTCTGCAGAGTAAAATTCTGAGCGGAATTTTATGTTTTTTGAGTTGCTTTCATGTTATTTTTTGCTTATTTCACTGTTTGTAATATATTGAAAAGTTTTGCATGATTTTTTTTTCTTCAACGGAAAGTTGGTTAATTTTTTTATTAGGCTAATTAATATTTGTATTAAGGGATATAGCTTATTTCATTGTATTTTTTTCCTCTTGAAAATATTAGATAAAATATCATTAATTATACTTTGCTTTTCAGAATTTTTTGTTTTTTGTATTCTTTTATGTTATTTATTGCTCATTTCACTGTTTTGAAGATATTGAAAAGTTTTGAGTGATTTTTTTAGGAAACAAAGTTCTTCACCTCCTTTATACCATTTGAGTTCTTAAGATTTTGCAAAGGGAATTTGGTTAATCTATTTATTAGGATAATTAATATTTGTATTAAGAGATATTGCTTATTTCATTGTAATTTTGTTATACGTAATAAGTTTTTTTATGACGTTGTTCTGCAGAGTAAAATTCTACGCAGTTTTTAAATTTAACGTTTGGTGTTCCCTCCAGCCATTTTTCCGGTACATTTAAAAGCCAGACGAAGGAAGCAGCCAGTTTTAAATAAAATACTACTTTGTTCAATTTTTTTCTTTGTCGAGATCATGTGAAACACCCAGGACACAAGACTCGACTCGAAACTTTAATTTTTAAGCCTAGAATTAAATTACATATTTTAAATCGGCAACAAAAAAACATACTTGAACAAGATGGCATCGACGCTGACCAGTCACCAGTTTCTAGGCATTTGGAGGTTCCATATACATCATCTTTACCGCAGAAGAATGTGGCTATGCTACCGGATCTCTGCTCCGCGGTATATTCTATTAACATATCTTCGGACTCTTTAAATGCAGGGCACCTGATTTCTATAAAGACATAAATACATGACTTAAGTATACATGAAAAGTAAACCGATTCCAAGTGGAAGAAAAGAAACTTTTGGGAAAAAATATGTTTAGCGAATATATTTACAAATTGTTTAACTCTTGTATTAAGAGTACCTTTTGAGTTTTTTTAAAGAATTTTCATTTATTTTTACTTTATGCCAACCTATATTCTTAAGTGAAGGAGGTAGGTTTTTCGGTCCAAATGTTCAGCAGTGAATGTTCAATGAATAAGCACGAATTAGGGTCCCCAATAACACATTTGCACCATTTTTATAATAAAGTATGTCTGTGCGTGTGTATATATATCGACTATTCCCTCCACAGTACATCTTAAGCAGCATATGTCCCATACTATAAAACAGAGACATTCTTTAAAATATGTGTTAATCTCATGAGCACATATCTAAAAAAAGTCTGTTTCCTACAGTATGGAACTAATGCTGTTCATTATAAACATTTCACCCATTTTACATTTTTACGTTGGTTGTCTGGTTCATTCGATATTGGCAAAGCACTCGAAGGCTTTCTGCCTAAGGGGCGGGATACCTTTGTGGAGGATCTCTTGAAAGGAACTGGCTTGCATACGTGTTCATGGGAAAAACCACAAAAACGCCCTTATAGCGCCCATTCGCATGATTCTGGCCAAACTAAAAGTGTTTAGCGACTTTACCCTTCTGCCACTGGTGGGCCACAATATTTTAAGATACTATCAATAATTTGACACTAAATTTTAGTTAATTTTGAATAAAAACAATAAAAAACTTTTTTTAAAAATGTGAAAGATTTCAGTTTTTAAATTACGTCCAAAGGGACGTTTTTTAAACATTTTGTCTGTTACCTTTTTTTATTAAATATCACGTCCTTCGCACTTAACTTATGGTTTATAAGTTCAGTTCAAGAGCAATATCGCAAAATAATTTTAAATTGAGCATATCTTTAGAATTTCCGATACAGAGTCTCGTGCGCTGAAGATAAAAATGTTTTTTTCTGTACAATGCTGCCATGGCTTGCTTTGAAATCAAAAATTCGTTAAAGTTTAATCAAAAATTCGTTAAAGTTTTACAAAATATAAAATCGATAATAAAAGAAATTCCAAATTTCAAATTTGGGCTTCCACATGCCCGTATTCGCAGTAGGATGACGTCATTCAAAATTTGATGGCTCTATGTACCGTCGTTTTATCACAATGCTAGAAATATACATACATTAATGCTGATTTTTCATTATTTAATTTCTTCAAATAAATGCAGGACTCTAACATTTGGTGGCAACAGTTTGAAAAATGTAACGGAGATTTATAGTGAACCAAAGCAAAATCGAAAATCGAAAATAATGGTCCTTCAGGGACAAAGCGCGTTTGGACTAAGAATACTAAAATATTTACAAAAAGAGCATAATTTTAAGAATTTTTTACCCCTTAAAAATTAAAAAGGTATCATAGAATATAAAAAAAAAATTAAAATGGGTATAAAAAGAGCGTAATTTTTAAGCATTTTTTTACACCCTAAACATCAATAAGTATCAAATTACAATGAAAAAACAAAAGCAATACATATTTTATAAAGAATTCAGGAGTCCCTAAAAATTAAAAATAATCAAAAGTTTTTGAAAATCACACAAATATTCTTCATCTATCATACCTTTACAGCTGAATATGTAATTTTCTTTATTATTTTTACTTCCTTGTACGAAGTAAAAAAGAAGTATTGTAATCGCGAAAAGTTTCAGGCAGCATATTTCAATGAAAATATCCATTTTGACCGCTATCGAATGCAATTTAATGATGTTTTGGCGTGATATCTGTATGTTAGGACAGAATAAAATACTCTTTTCCTTCAAAAAATTATAAAACTGCTTTAAAATAAATTCTGAAGAGAATTTTTCGTGGCGTCTGTACGAACGTACGTATCTCGCATAACTCAAAAACGAGTAGCCTCAGAACGTTGAAATTTCGTATATAGGACTGCTATAACATGTAGATGTGCACCTCGGATTAGTTTGGTTGAAATCGGCCGCACCAAACGTATATAAATATATGTATATAAACATCCACTCGGTTGACCTCGGCTCAGTGATCTCAGGTTTCTTTATTCTTATATGTTTGGTAAACCGTACATTTTTTGCTTTAAAAATGATTGAATTATGTTGCTCTTATCTTTCTTGGTTAAGGTTTTTATGCCTTTATTAAATCTGCATGCAATATTTTTAGAATTATCAGCAATTTTAAAGTTGTTCTAATTGCTGCTAAGCCTTTTTCTGATGGCGGTCATTGATTGTTTACATTTGAAACAGGAGACTAGTGGATTTTGCCAACCTAGAGAAACTTATCTTCGCAACAACAAAGATAACGCCTTCATTTATTATTTAAATCATGCTTAATCCTTTCTGGAATTTTTTCAAGGAAATAAGCATTTAAGATTTACTTCGTAATTTTTAACATAGATATTTTGAGTTTTTATGTATTTTTGCCTTCTTGCGAAGTGAGAACTGAATTAATTAAATGAGAAATACTCAATCGTCCGTGAAAAACTGTTCCTTTTTTGTTTTGTTTGCTTAATTTCTTTTATACCTCGTTCTAGCTTTATTATAGTATTTGAATAGAACATGTGGCCACGATTAGATAATTCTATTCTTGAAATGATATAAATTTTGTGCATTATGAGTTATAATATGAACAAAATATAACTGTTAAGTGAACCTGGCATCAGAGTGTCGCTATGGTAAACAAATAGAGTCAATTTTAAAAAATGCATTCATTCTATTGTGGTTTTTTTTTTTTTTTTTTTTTTTTTTTTTTTTTTTTTTTTTTTTTTTTTTTTTTTTTTTCTATGCGCTGTCGGCGAAGTAGATTTAATTTAATCCAATAAGTTTAAATGAAATGCAAGAAAAAATGCGTATAATTTAATATTCCAATACAAGGAAGTCATGTAATGTACACATCAGATATTTTTATTTCATTATCAGGAAGTCTTTCATGTCTTTTCCAAGAAACTATTCTTTTTTCCAATCACCTAAATTATGTTTTTGCAATACACATATCTCCATATTTAATTTGGGGCCCACCAGAGGCCGAATAAAACTCGAATAATTGTAAGAAATTGAGGGTTTTATCGAAGCAAAATATCCTTACTTACCAAATACTTTTATGTTGATAGTAGTCGGAGCATATCCTTCCATAGCGCAATTGTACTTTCCATCATGCTTCGAACTTGGTACCACAATGTCTAATACTGCAGTGTAAATTTTTCCGTCGCGGGTATTTTTGACCTCATCTGAAAACCATAAACCATAAATCATAAAATTCAGTTAAAACAGCAACATCGCAAAATAATTTTAAAATGAACATACCTTTAGAATTTCCGATACACAGATACACAGTCTCCCGTGCTGGAAATGAAAATGCTTTTTTTCTTCTGTACAATTTTGCCATGGCTCGCTTTGAACTCCCCGAGTTTGTTAATCAAAAATTCGTTGAAGTTTTACAAAATATGAAACTGATAATAAAACAAATTTCAAATTTGGTCTTCCACATGCCCATATTCGTAGAAGGCCTACATCATTCAAAATTCAATGGCTCTATGTACCGTTGTTTTACCACAGTGCGAGAAATATACATATATTTATGTAGATTTTTCGTTATTTAATTTCTTCAAACATAATGCAGGACTCTAACATTTGGTGGCAACAGTTTGAAAAGTGATTCGCCGTTTGTAGTGATTCAACGAAAAATCGCAAAACGAAATTAATAGTCCTTTTGGGCTAATAATAAAAATAATAATGCATAGAAAGTCCTCCCTTCCTTGCAAAGTTTAGAAAAGGAGAAGAAAATAGTGAAATACGTAAGAATAAAAACATATATGGCGTAAAAGCGAGTTTTCTGAAAACTAAGAGATTTCCTACACGTCACTTTCAAACATCCGCTGGCTAGGGTCGGTCTGTGCTCCTACTTAGGCCTCATAATTAGAGAAATCGAATGTTCAACTGACTCAACGAAATTATAGGTTCATGTTTGTTTTGCTGTGATGGGTCGTTCTTGTATTAGGCTGGCATAACGTTGAACAGTTGAAAGGGAGAGCTTCGGCGGGACCATCGCAGGTAATTTGCAATAGTTTTCCTCTGTTACTAAAACAAAAATGATCACTACATTGTCGAATCCATTTTTAAATTTAGAGGTTTGGTTTATTTAATTATGGCAAAGCACACTAGGGGCTATCTGCCTAAAGGGAGGGATGCCTTTGTGGAGGAATTTCTAAGGGCGGAAATTACACATGTGGAAAACCACGAACGCCCATGCATCCAGCCCGTTCGCGGGATTCGAACCTCGAACCGAACTACCAGTGTTCAGCAACTTTACCGCTCGGCCGCAGGTGGGCCTAAAATTTAGAGGAACTCATTTTCTGAGCGTATCGAAGACGAGGAAGTTTACGGAAGTCCAAATTATATAAGATGCAAGTTCGTCACGTGATTGTAGCGCGAGATAAAAGGGAAGGAAACGGCAGACGAACCAATAAAATACTTCGTAGTGATCGTCAATAACATCTTAAAATGGAGCGATCACGTTAATTGTATAAAAAATACAACAGGAAAAACAATTAACGTTCTTCTATAATCAAGTTCAAGATTTAAGAATGTATGTCTTAGAATAAGGGTTCACAACCCTATACCCGCGGGCACCATGGTGTCCACCAATCATTTAACGTGTATCCGTCACTGTGCGATCACAAAAATGTTTTAGTTTTCAAGAAAATTTTATATGAAAGTTTTCTCATTTTTAATGAAACAGAAATTGCATCCAACACAGATACCAACACAAAGCGAAATGCGATCGATCTCTTTTTTTTTTTTTTTCCCTCGCGTATTCTCCAACCTAATGCTTTTCTATACCAAGGCTGACACTTGCCTATACCTAAAATCCAAAATGAAATGAACTGGTTCATCTCAAGAGCAGAGTTGCCAAACTAGGAAATAAAATGTTAGTTATTTAATAGCTTTTAAACACACAGTACAAAAATATAGCTACTTCTCTACAAATAGAATATTACAACACTGAGTCTTACCTCCGGGGCGATATTTCAGAAGCCCTCTGGCGATAAACAATTCTGAGCCTTTGGCATACCTGGTCGTGAGCGGTATACAGCCGTGTGGTTTTAGCTGTGCTAAACGGGGTATCCCACTCAAAAGGGGCTTCGGAAAAAGTAAAATATCTTAACAAGAGGAACGAAAAACAAATTTTTACATGACATATGTTTGAGAAATCAAAGTGCATTACAAAAGGTGCCTCGCGATAGACGTGTGGCATGTTGCCTCATCTTGCTGGTACCAGCCAAACACTGCCTGGTACACAACCCGATGATGCGCCACTGTGATAAAGCACAAAACACGCCCATCTTCTATGATGAAGGGACTCCTGGACAACTGCATGCTGGCAGTCACTACTCCATACACGTATGTTTTGTTAATAAACGTATTCTGAGAAACAGAACAAAGATGCATCACTATACCACCTGTAACTCTGCCAACAGCATACCCCTTTGCGGCGCACTATACGTTAACGTCGGAATTTCAATAAAAAAAGTTGTATGCAGTCTATTTAGTCCTAAAGGACTATGTACATGTAAAATTTTGTAAAAATTGCATTTACCTTTTAATTTTGTGGGGGTGTTCCATGAGGTGCAACGCTGCGCTGCCAGAGCTCTTAAAGTGCGACTAATGCGAGCATTGTAGTGAAACACGAAAATGAGTAGAAGCTTTTGTATAGTAATGAAAAAACAATGTATTATGGCTATATACATGTTGGTTTCTAGGATAATACACGATATTCTTGAATATATATGGATAAATGATATAAATATATGTATATACACAAGTCCTATGTAAAAAAGTATTTACATATTTTTCGATTTCTTAGCTTCATGAAATTGTTCAAAGCAAGTCACACTTTTTGATGGAAGCACAAAACCAACTGCGATTTTAAAATTAAAACTACGTTTAATATTAACAATAAAGAAAAAATAAGCCTATAATATATATATACATGAAAAACTATCTACACAATTATTGAAAAAATAAACGGGAATGAGACTAAAAAGCGACAGCAAAAAAATTCGCGCAGGTTCTAAGTAAAGATGAGTCAAGTACTAATAAAATTCCCGCCTAAAAACTACTCCCAAAAAATTCGAGATTCCAATATTAAGGCTTTCATAACACAAAACACACCTCACCCCTCAATACTGCTTTGTTTGAATTCATAACCCCCCCCCCACACACACACACCACCACCAAAACAACGGAAACAGAAAACGTAAACAACGGATGTTCTCTCCTAAGTACAGATGTTCTGATTCGTAACAGCATGAGATCGCAAAAGGCGCAGTGTTCCCGCTAATGGAATACCTGGTTTAATTCAATGATTCTGCGTGTGGTTTTTGTATGAAAGATTAAAAAAAATATAGAACAAATAATTTGGAGTACAGCCAGCAAAATTATGCCTAATTTTTTTCCCAAATAAAATTTTTTATATCATTAAAAAAATTGAGAAAATTACTTGAAAAAAAGTGGATTTTAATAACACGTAATAAATGAAAATTATGTGTCTCCTTGTGATATGCTGCTATCTACTGTTTAAAAAAAAAAAGTTCAAAGTATATTATAAAGGCATTTTTATCTATTTACGGTTGAATTTAAAGGTTTCAGAAGCGATTCAATTTGGGTGTTCCATGTAGTGGAACACTGAGCCGCAAAGGGATACAACGAAAATTCAGTGCCGTGTTAAACTGGGTATACAGGTTGAGGGAAGGTCATTTCCATCATCTCTTTTAATGTACTTTTCATTTCTCAAACATAAAGGCATGTCAGGTAAAATGTTGGTTTCATTTCCTTTTGTTGTAAGATTTTTAATCACACATTTCCTGGGGTGTCTTTCGAGTGGTACACCCTGCATATGACTTAATTTATGCTGACTATTTTTCACTTTTTGCACACAGGGCAGGGCGATGCCCAGGAGCCAGCATCATGATTTCATTAATCAGAAATGTTCACTCAAACCAAAGGCTGTATTTCGAAGCTCTATCCGGCGCGTTGGAGCTGCGCTTTGGGGACAAATGTTCAAAAGACTACAGGAGGCTTCAATTAAAATCCCGTCAACGGAAACACACCACGAGCTCCGCGCAGATGTTGAAAGGCGGTCTCATCTCGCCTTTTCTGAGTGCCCTGCAGTACTTCATCAACAGCATCCATGATCCTGAAATACAGAAGGCTCTACGAATGGCGGATGTCAAAGATTTAAAAAGTGCTCTGGTGCAAGCCATGAAATCGGAGGCAGACCAGCAAGCAACTCGTAGACACCGCCAAACAATCAGAGTTGTTCAAGTTCTGGAACTAGTGAATCCAATAACTGTTCGGCTAGATGCTTTAGCTAGACACCTTAATGCCTAAATACGGAATAGGAGTAATAGCAAACCGACTCTAAAGTGCTGGAACTGCAGTATTGAAGGCCGTATGCGGAGGAATTGCAGAACACCCCAGCCCAGGGATGGGCAAACCTTTTCGGTCGGGTCAAAAATCGAAAAAAAAAAAAAAAAAAAAAAAAAAAAAAAAAAATGTCTGGCGGGGCAAGATAATTTTTTCTAAAATTTTAAAAACAATATACAAGAATTACAATTTAAATATGTTATTGAGATGAATGAAATTATGATTTCATTCTTAAAAATTCCTTATATTGAAAATATAAGAAATGAGATGTACTGATTCTATGGAACGAGGCTAAATACTCATGTGTCAGTCTACTTCTGAAATTATTCTTTCTAAGCTTCATAGTTGGAAACGCTTGTTCACATATAAAAGATAAAGCAAACATAGCACTGATTGCTCTAGGAAAATTTGTTGGTAATGGAATCATTGGTACTGCTCTTCTTTAGTTCTCCAAAAATGTTAAGTAGGTGAATGTTCACTTCTTGCCAGGGAGCAATACCGAAAAGGTCAAAGCTTTTGGAATGCAGATCATTTAGGTTAAATTCTTCAATCAGTGAGTGAATGCGAAGATCAAAAGGTGGGATACATGAAGGACCGGCATGGTAAAGATGCCAGTACTGATCAGATGTCATGAGTCAGCCAGGGTGTTCGGCCTGTGACATTACTTTATAATGAAGATCAGTGGATGTGAAGGTCAATGGACGCTTGCGTCTGAATTCCAAAGATGGTTCAAAACAGATGACATATAAACTTTGGACTGGAGATGTTCTGAAGGCTCCACAGCAAATCCGTAGGATGGTGG